AGAGGCTATCCTGATGGAAGAACAGTCTCTTGAGTGTTCCTGAGCATGAATTGTAACTGTTATTTCACTAATAAACCTCATAATTGTGCATATGCTCTGTGAGTTCTATGTTTCCATTGCAGTGCATTATTGAACCCAGTAGAGAGTGCTGTGGGAGGGACGGTTAGTGTTAGAATTGGTAAGGATGGCAGAGAGAGGAGACATGTCCGACCCCAGCTTCATAGGAATCAGCCTTGGTCTTTTGATCTTGATTCTCCTTCCCTCTCATGAAGTTTGAGGAGGTCAGACACTGCCCTCAATCCATATTTACATGACTGTGAGTAATGCTGCAATGAACATTGGTGTACAAGTGTCTGTTTGAGTCCCTGCCTTCAAGTCTTTTGGGTTTACATCCAGGAGTGGAATTGCAGGTCACATAGTAATTCTGTGTTTAACTTTTGAAGAACTGTCACACTGTTTTCTACGGCAGCTGCATCATCTTACAGTCCCACCAGCAATATATGAGGGTTCCAATTTCTCCACATACTAACCAACACTTGTTATTTTCTGTTTCCTTGATAATATCCATCCTAGTATATGTGAAGTGGTATCTCATTGTGATTTTGATTTGTATTTCCGTAATTACTAATGATGTTGAGTGTCTTTTTTATCTCCTTATTGGCTTTTTAACATCTTCTTTGGAGAAATGTTTATTCATGTCTGTTGCCCATTTTTTAATGGGATGTTAGTCTTTTTGTTGTTGACTTGTAGGAGTTCTTTATATACTCTAGATGTTAAACTCTTATCAGATATATTATTTTCAAATATTTTTCCCATTCTGTAGGTTGTTGTCTTAGTCATCCAGTGCTGCTTCAACAGAAATACCACAAGTGGATGGCTTTAATAAACAGAAGCCCATACACTTGTGGTATTTCTGTTGTAGCAGCATTGGATGACTAAGACAGAATTTGGTACTGAGAGTGGGGTGCTGCTCTAACAGATACCTAAAATGTGGAAGTAGTTGCCTTAAAGAGACTGTTGGTGGAATTATGGACATCAGAGACAATTCTGGTGAGGACTCCAAAGGAAGTGAGGAGAGCTGTTACACTAGAGATGATGCAGACAGCGAGAAGCAGCAGCAGAGGACTGGCAGCAGCAGAACCAGGAGATCAGTGTGAGATGGCGCTGGAGCTGACACACAGAGCGAGAGAGCTGAGTGCCATTGTGCAGGAGGCTTCCTGGTGGAGTGGGGTGCCTCAAGGCACTTATCAGTGGAGCTACAGAGCTTTGAAACACTTTCCCCAGCAGGGCAAACGTGGGTGGTAAGGCCCAAGGAGCCGAGAGGCCAAGGAACCAAGGAGCACAAGTTGAAGAGACAAGGAACACAGGAAGGCAAGCTGCCTCAGTCTCAAAGGGTATGACCATGACCTCTGGGGTCTCAACGGGTGGAACCATGGCCTCTGGTGTTTCTAAGGGTGGAGTTGCTACTCTTATGGACTAGGAGAATGGTGTGCCTAAAGCCGAGGGAGCAGAGTCACCGTTCCAGTCGACCTGGAAGGCAGAGCTGAAGCCCAGGGCTGAGGGAACTGCCAGTCAGAATCCAGAGAGTGTGGCCAATACCTAGAGTCCAGAGGGCGGGGCCATTATTTAAATGGTCTCAGAGAACAGAGGATTATTTTCAAGCCTTGAGGGCTAATGTAATGTGTTCTACTGACTTGCTTGGTGCCTGTTATCCCTTCTTTCCTTCCAGTTTCTCCAGTTTGTAATGGAAATGTCTAGTTTGTACCTGCCTGTTACACCATTGTACCTTTGGAAGCAGATAACTTGTATTCTAGATTTCACAGATGAAGAGGAATTTTTGGATTCTGGACTTGGAGTTGATATAAGACTTTTTCTGTGATACATTGGGGTGAATATGTTTTACATGTAGCAAGGACATGAATTTTGGGGGGCCAAAGAGTGGAATGTCATGGATTGAATTGTGTCCCACAAAAATATGTGTATCAATTTGGCTAGGCCATGATTCCCAGTATTGTGTGATTGTCCACCATTTTGTCATCTGATGTGATTTTCCTATGTCCCTGCACTGAGAAGCTCCTTGACCAGGGGAAGATTGATGATAAGGACCTTCCTTCAGAGCTAACAGAGAGAGAAAGACTTCCCCTGGAGCTGATGCCCTGAATTTGGACTTCTAGCCTACTAGACTGTGAGAGAATAAACTTCTGTTTGTTGAAGCCATCCACTTGTGGTATTTCCGGTATAGCAGCACTGGATGTCTAGGACAGTTGTGTTTTCTTTTTCTTGATAATGTCCTTAAGTGCACAAAATTTTTTTATTTTGATGAAGTCCGATATAGCTATTTTTTTTGTTGCTCATGCTTTTGTTGTTATATTTAAGAATCTACTGCCAAATACAAGTCCCTGAAGATTCACTCCTATGTTTTCTTCTAAGAGTTTCATGGTTTTAGCTCTTATTTTAGGTTATTGATCCATTTTGAGTTAATTTTTATATATTCTTCTGCATGTAGAGATCCACTTGTCCCAGAATCATTTGTTGAAAAGATATTCTTTAACTATTGCGTGGACTTGTCACCCTTGTTGTTAATCAGTTGTCCATAGCTTTATGGATTTATTTCTGGACTCCCAGTCCTATTCTATTGATCAGTACTTTACTTCTGATACCAATGCCATAATGTTTTGATTAATGTAGGTTTGTAGTAAGTTTTGAAATTGGGAAATGTGAGTCCTCCAGCTTTGTTCTTTTTTTGGAATTGTTTTGGCTATTTGGGGCCCTTTGCAATTCCATATGAGTTTAAGGATCAACGTTTCCATTTCTGCAAAAAAGGTTGTTGGAATTTTGAAAAGGATTACATTGAATCTGTGGATTGTTTTGGGTAGTGTTGACATCTTAACAATACTAAGTTTTCAAATTCAACACCATGGGTGCCTTTCCACTTTTTCAGGTCTCATTTAAATTTTTTCACCAATATTTTATAGTTTTCAGTGTGCAAGTGTTTCACCTCTGTTTAAAATTATTCCTAGATATTTTATTCTTTTAGATGCTATTTCAAAAGATTGTTATCTTAATTTATTTTCAGCTTGTTCATTGCTGATGTATAAAAACACTACTGATTTTTGTGTGTTGATCACCTTGCTGAATTCATTTATTAGCTTTTTATTCATCTAGTAGTTTTCTTTTGAAATCCTTGGGATTTTCTATATATAGAATCATGTTATGTATGAATAAAAATAATTTTACTTCTTCTTTTCTGATCTGGATGCCTTTTATTTCTTTTTTGCCTAATTGCTCTAGCTAGAACTTCTAGTACATTCGAATAGCAGTGGTGAAACTGGGAATACTTATCTTGTAATATATGGTTCTTGCATCAAAATGAACAATATCAATCGAATTGTTGATATCCTGAACTTTTGACTTTCACTGTATCTATTAAGCCATGCCACTTTTAGCAAGTTTCTAGTAACTATGATTTCTGTATCTTATAAAACTATTCAGGATAACATTTACTCTGAATGCTTCTGTCAAGTGATGTTATTCTCAAGCTATTTCATCAAGCACTTCCTTTTCCATATGGCATATAAACCACTTCTTGGTGCACAAAAGACTGAAACACTTCCTAATAACTACTTAAGACAATTATTGAAGTTATCCTACTGGAAACATATTCAAAGCAGAATGGCAAAATATACCACTGAGACAGGTAGAATTGCAGTAAAATAATGGAAACTATGAGTATTATTTCACTGTTGAGAGGAGAGATAGATGTTCTGGAAAACAGTGAATGTGGCTTCTAAAAGATACAGGCATCACTATTGATGCCTGGGAAGGGGAGAGAGAAGGAAACTAATTTTTGCTCTGTGTCTCTGTAGAGCAGGCACAGGATTAGGGGTGTTGCCTACGTTAGTTTATTTAATTTCATCACCATGTTTTAAACTTCTGACATCTTGTCCATATTTTACAGGAAAGGAAATTGAATTAATTTAAATAGTGTTCTTAAGATTATGGAGCTAACATGAGAAAGGTCTAAGAATGGAATTCACATCTTTCTGTCTACTATACCCCTACTCGTCTTATTTCACATCACTGCTAGAGAGTACCTGTTGCCACCACCAAATAAGCATACAAGTTTCTTCATATAGAAATATGAATGAAGTTAAAAAACATATTTGGTATCTCAAGGGGGAAAAACTCAAGTAGTTATTTATTTTACACAATTCATAAGTAATCCACCTACATCTTCTGAGGACTGAGAACTTGGCCTTTATTAGTTTGTTTTATGGTTATATCTAAAAATGAAGATTTATCTCATGTGTTGTATTTAAAACATTCAGAAGTAGTTGACTATAATTGTTTAAACTAGGAGTTGAGATAAGAAAGTCGTGTTTGGACTGAATATTCTATGACCTCTCCAAGGGTACTAAGCCCAGCTCTGTCATTTCAGCTCTTCTTGGTAAAACCCACAAAGGCTAAGGTATGGTACTTCTAACAGGGCTAGTCAGATTTGCTTTCTCCTGTGTAAACCTTGGGCTTGATTACACCCGAATTGTGAATTCATAGGCTGAATAATTGGTCTTACTGTGATTAGTGTTCTGACACTAATCATATGTGCACTTATAACTAACAAAGAAATCATGTGTAGACAAATTCTTGGTTTGAAAAAAAAAAGAAAAATTTAGAAACAATCTGTAAGATCAGCTCATGGTGTTTGTATTTATACTGATTACCAACAGGAAAAAGAATGAAACTAATTTGATAGCAAAATTTTGAAATGACTTAAGCAGCTTGAAAAAAATGCAGCAAGTGGGTCAGATTTATTATGTAAAAGCTAAGTCTCTGTGACTTTAGGGACTCTCTCCTTTCTTCTGCTTAAGTGTTTAAAAAATTAGTTCATGTTTACATACTATTTTCTTTCAGATTTCCCAGTTAGATGGGTAGTCTTTCATTTGAAACCTTATATTAATACTTTCTTCAAATTTGTGTACTTGCTTTTTTGTGTTCTGCAGAGCCAAGAAAATGATGAGCTAAGAGATGCCCATGAAAAACGCAAGGAAAGGCTACAGATGTTACAGACCAACTACAGAGCAGTAAAAGAGCAATTAAAACAGTGGGAAGAAGGCAGTGGCATGTGAGTTACATAGCTCATAAACGCATTTCCCTAAATATTAAATGGAATGGAGTAGCATTATATAGGTGTTATAATGGCTTTTGTTTGATTTTAAAGAAATTATTTGGTAGTCAAGCCTTTATTGTGAAATTTTAAAACAGAGAACATAATAAATGAAAACAGAGAAATATTCTAGCAATAATTATAGATTTTTCATCTCATTTACAGATATCAGCTGTAAATGATTATGAATTGCTGTGCACCTTTTTAATATCAGTGGAGTAGCTTAATGAAAGGATATAATTTTAAAGCAAAAATAATTCATACGAATGTAAAATGGCTTCTAGTAAATAAAATGCTGTCCCTAAAATGTTTATAACTCAAAAAGTATTTAATTCTTAATTAAAAGACAAGAGAAATATGAAATTCGCATATATAGCTAACTCTCTTAAAACTATTTCAACCTAGTATGCAATTTAAAAATCTTTACTATCCATCAGTTTTTTCTGCAGCTTATCTGAATGAATTGGCGGTCTCAGTTCAATTGCTCCAAACAGGTGTTCAGAGCTTGGTTAGTTGTAAGTGGCTCCCCTGTTAACAGTATCAACAGAGGACATAGGACTGAATGAGTACAGAAAATCTACTACCCTCTCATCTTTTGAAATAGATCCTTTAGGGCAGTGTTGATGATACACATTGGCCTGTTCTATAGAGAAATACTGTTTCTAAATTGGCCAGTACAGCACTTTTACAAAATAAAAATGAAGAGTTTGTTTTATGTACAGAAAATGGAAATGTAAAGACCATTTGCCATGACTTGCAGATAATTGACACATCAAAATTTTTTTCCTTTGATGAATGGAAAGTGTTTCAAATTGCTTGTCAGTAAAGTAGTGATAAAGCAGTTTGTCCTTTTAAGTTGCCACCAGAAGTGCAAAAACTACTTTCTGACATATTCACTGATAATAGCTTGTTTTAAAATAGAGCATCTACACCACATTCTGATTGGCTGGTTGCAAATTCTAGATGAGTTGCTTATAGTGCTTTTTTGAGACTGACATTTGTACAGTGCATTATTACTGGTATAATGAACAAAAGTAATAGACCTAAGAATTCTGTGTGTCAGCTTAAAATTTTACAGTTTAGCTTTAGGAAATTATGATATAGGATTTTTAATTTCTACAATTTAGGCTTTAGGAAATTCATCTCATAAGTAGTGAGCTTGAATTAGAAATTTGGTGTATAAATAATTTTAAGTTTTAGGGAATGATAAATTTTTATTGCATTTTGAACATGTTAAGAAAGAAAGCAAATTCATTTTAAAAACAGGACTGATATCAGAAAAATCAAGAGAGCATATCCCCAACAACTTCAACAAGAAGATTCTGATGCTGTATGGAATGAACTAGCATATTTCAAAAGGGAGAACCAGGAGCTAATTATTGAAAAGTAAGTTTCTCTTTTTTAACAATATGGACTTAGATATACATATGAGAGAAATTTTTTGTGGCTTAAAGGCCATGAGAGACATACCTTATAAAATTTGAAAATGAAATAATCTGTTTTTTACCAACAAAAATGAAGAAAAAAGACGGGCATGTGTGTGTGTGTGTAGCAATAACTAATCTGTATACATACACATAGACACGCATACATATATATACGTATGTATGTATAGCAGTGACAAGTTGCATATTTGCTAGGGCTAACTGAAACTGTATAATATGATCTAGGGATTGTGTTAATTAATGTGGCTCTCATCTGTTGGAGGTGTCGTTCTTCATTAGCCTGTATTTTAGACACTGCCGTGCTTCATTTTTGGAATGAGGTGGAGAGGGGATAACCTAGCCAGCCATCCGTGTTTGATCTCCTGGATACATACGCAATGCAGAATGCCTGAGCTCTCTTGGTTCCCTGCCCTGTCCTGCTAATCCCAGCTGAGCTCATTATGGTGTAGCCTTGCTGCTACTCTTGGAGCCAGAGCTGTCCAAGCTAATTACTGGTAGCAGCAGAACTGCCTGTTAAGGGTCTGGTGTGGATCTGCTAACATGGTCCTTGGTAGTGACCTGCAAAAGACACGAGGGAATTGCTTTCTTTTTTCCTGTGTGCTGCCTGTCCTTTGGGCTTAATGCTGATCCCTTCACATAGGTCTTTTAGCTGCCATAAGTATAAAACTTGATGAAGGATACTCACATTTTAGAAAATATACTGTTTGCTTCCTTGATCTTATAATTCACAGACTATTATACTCAGCAGGGCAAAGAAAGAACACTTTTTTTTTTTTTGGTAAACAAAAAAGGAGTTAGACCAACATAATTAGCCTCTTCTGCTACTTAACTGTTTCTTTATTGAGACTTAACTCAGACAGACCATTGCAATTTTCCTGAAAGCCTACATGTCTTTTAGGTTGCTAGAATTTAGCAACGTGTGACATAATGCAATTGAATATCACTCAGTTTTCTTAGCTGGAAAGTGAGACTCTTATATATGATTGCACACGTAACTTTGGCTTGTAGCCTTTTCCATGTAATGATAAACTTTTAGGGAAATAACCATATCCAATTTAAATGTGTACTGCCAATTCCCTCTTAAAGTGTAGTGTACCCTATTACGGCTAAATGTTTGATACTGATAATGGAGTCTCTTATCTTGAAAATTGTTTTATAAATTACATATATTTGTCATGGAGATATTTCCTGATAATTTTTAAACAGCTTACTGAGATATAATTCACAAACCATACAATTTACCCATATGAAGTGTACAATGCAGTGACTTTTAGTATATTCAGAGTTGTTTATCCATCATCACAATTTTAGAACATTTTATCACCTCAAAAAGAAAACCCATATCCCTTAGCTGTTACCTCCTAACTCCCCATCTCCCCCAGGCCTAGGCAACCACTAATCCACTTTCTGTGTCTATAGTTTGGCTTATTCTGGACAAATGGGATCATATAATATGTGGTCCTTTGTGACTGGATTCTTTTACTTAGCATAATGTTTTTAAGTTTCATCTATGGCGTAGCATGTATCAGTACTTTCCTTGATAAACTTTACTGATCTTTTTGCCTCCAAAAAATAGTCAATTTTGGACAAAGTCCATTAGGTGAGGTATATAATCGAATTAGATGTGAGACCTAATCTATGCAAGAAAATTCATGCAGAGGTTAGCAGTAAGTGACACATTTTAAAGAATTTATTTATGAATGAAATAGAGCTAAAGAAAAAGTATTAAGGCCTTATTAGAAAGCTAAGGAACCCTTAGAATCCTGGCCTGTTCACTCAACAGTATTTTAAAGGTACAAACAGTCCCTTAAATTAAATAGTAACAACAACAACAAAATAAATTTAAAAATAAATAAATAAAAGAATTAAATGCAAAGAATCATTATTAAGGTATGATACCTGCTTAAGATCCATAATGTAGTAGCCAGTCATAAAAGTTATTTTTCAGATAAGTCTTAGTAAAAGATAATAAACTTCTGTTTGATAACATTCATAACGAATACTAGAGAACTGATACACACTTTAAATCCTTTAATAAAGGTTTTTTTTTGGGGGGGGCTGGTTATTTTGTGAAACATTCATTCAGTTAACAAATATATTTGAGTTACTGCTGTGTGACAGACACTATGCTAGGTAGATGAAATGGGAGCATCAGATAAGCTTTCTACTCTCAGGGAGCTTACTTGGAAACATGTTCAATATTAAATAGTCTTAATGAAGTGTCATGTTACAAATAAAACAAATGTGTCAGAAGGTACCATGATGATTCATTGAAATTTGTTTTACTGATGAGGACAGAAATTTTTTGTGTTTTTTTGGTGGTTGTTTAGTTTGTTTTTTACTTATATACAGTCCATTGCCATTATAGTATATGATTTTATGAGTTTTAACACACACGTATAGATTTGAATTACCACCACCTTAATCAGGATGCCAAAAAGTTCCATCATCCCTCAAGATTCCCTTTTCCTGGCCCTTTGTAGTCAGTCTTCTAACTTCTAACCTCTAACTTCTGTTAACCGCTGATTTGTTCTCCATCCCTATAGCATTGCCTTTTTCAGAATGTTGTATGATTTCAGAATCATACAGGCTGTAACTTTTTGAGACTGACTTCTTTTACTCAGTATAACGACTTTGAGATTCATTCATTTTGATTCATCCAGTTTGTACCTTTTTCATGCTGAGTGGTATTGTATTTTATGGGTGTACCACAGTTTGTTTATTTATATGCTGAAAGACGTTTGGGTCATTTTTAGTTTTTGCAATTATGAATAGAGCTGGCATAACAGGTTTTTGTGTGAGTATAATTTTTGTATTCTTTTAGGTAAATAACATTGCTGGGTCATATAGTCAGTGTATGTATAACTCTATAAGAAACTGCCAGTTTTCCTGAGCGCCAAGACCATGTTTCATTCCCACCAGAGATTCATGAGAAGCCAGTTGTTTAGCATCATTGCCAGCACTGTGTGTTGTCACTATTTTGTTTTAATCATTCCAACAGGTGTGTATTGGTATCTCACTGTGATCTTAATTTGGTCACCATGAGTCAGAATGGACTGATGGCAACTGGTTTAGTGTTTTGTTTTGTTTTAATGGCTAATGGTATTGATCATGTTTTCACGTGCTTATTTGCCATCGTTATATCTTTTTTGGTGAAGTGTATGTTTAAATCTTTTGTTCATTAAAAAAATTGGTTTGTTATTAAAGAAATAACTGTTGTTTCTTATTCTTAGGCTTCAAGAATTCATATTCTGTATACAAGTGCATAATCTGATATTTGGTTTGAAAATATATTCTCCCAGTCTGTAGATTGCCTTTTCATTCTCTTCACAGTGTCTTCTGCATGGCAAAGGTTTTCAATTTTGATAAAGTCTAATTTAGCAGTTTTTTTTATTTTATAGATCATGGTTTTGATATCATATCTAGGAATTTTTTGCCTTACCAAGATCACAAGTATTTTACCTTTTTTTTTTTTTTGGTAGAAATTTTATAGGTTTACATTTTATCTTTAGATCTGTGATCCATTTTGAGCTAATTTTTGTATAAGGTTGAAATTTATATATTTAGTTTTGGAAATGGATATCCAATTGTATCAACATCATTTGTTGAAAAGACTATCCTTTCCCCAATGAATTGTGTTTGTAACTTTGTCAAATATTAATTGACTGTATTTTTATGGGTCTTTTTTAGGACTCTCTACACAGAACAATCACCTGTTTTGGTGTAATGATTAGTTTAAAAAAATGAAAGTGTAGTCCCCTGAATATTTATAAGCCATGGAATAGCAAAAGTAACAAATTCAAGAAATATGTGTGGAATATAAAATGAGAACTGTAAATTATCAACAATTTAGACTGATTTGTTAAGCATGGTAAGAATGATGGCAGAAGTATCTAAATAAACCATTCAATAACCAGTGGTTAATCAAAGGATACATCATGCTCAATTTCACATCAGTATTCAACAAAGTTGGTCACACTATGTTTAAACAGATTTTTTTCTTGGACTCTGACATGCTCTCTTCTGGTTTTGCTTCTGTACCTCTGGACACCTCTTCACATTATCCTTCACCAGCTCATCTCCCTGTAATCAGCAACTTGTTGTGGTATTTTGGGACTTTGTGATAGACATTCTTCTGTACTTTGTATAGTCTCCCAAGACAATCTCATCTACTACCATGGTTTCAGTCATCATCTCCAGCTGTTTGACTTCCAAACCTGTGTCTGTAGATAGACCCTGCTTCTTAACGCAGCTCAGTATATCCAAATGTCTACACACCATCTCCCCCTGAACGTCTCAGTCAGATTCAACATGTCTTAAACCAAATTCATCATCTTCTCCTCCAGCTGCACTCCTTATCTAGTACTCTAAATCTCCGAATGGCATCATGATTTATCCATGTGCTCAAACTAGAAACCAAGGGGGTCAGAATTGATTTACCCCTTTTTCTGACCTCATGCCAGTCTATACCAAGTTCTGTTGAATCCACATCACAAATATCTCTAGAATATATCTTTTCTTTCCCCCCATCCTCACCACCAACTCCTTATCCAAACCACCTCCGTTTCTTCTCTGGTCAACTAAGTATTTCTGCCCTCGTTTTTATTATGCTTAACAAACCAGAATCTACATTGTTGATAATTCAGTTCTTATTTTATATTCGACACACAACTGGACCAGTAAGCAACATCATGATAAATGTAGAAAAGATTCAAGTTGTCAGCATTTCTTTTTACTTGGATCCACAATCAACACCCATGGAAGCAGCAGTGAAGAAATCAAATGACACATTGCATTTAGGCAAATCTGCTGCAAAAGGCCTCTTTAAAGTGTTAAAAAGCAAAGATGTCACTTTGAGGACTAAGATGTGCTTGACCCAAGCCATAGTATTTTCAGTCACCTCATATGCATGTGAAAGCTGGACAATGAATAAGGAAGACC